GCATCACAAAGGCCAGAAGTGTCCCCTCAGAAGAAGGAATCCCAGCAGAGCTTCAGCTATACCAAAACCCAGCCCCAGCGAGGAGTCACGGCCAGCAGGAACAAAGAACATAAACATTCTGGTGATCTTGGTTTAATATTGCAACATTGCTGAGGACCTAAAAAAGAGTTTCTAGAAAGGGCAACTCTGAAATGCCAATGGTTCAGGCAGTTTGTTCCTTCCATATGGAGGCTCCATGGCATAACTGCTTGGGGCTTTCCCACACAGGCTGGTGAGCAGAGCACAGGTGGGTAGTAGTGTCTATGAGAGCCCAACATTTGGTGCAGTCACATCTGGAGTCCACAGCCCCAGGACAGGTTGCCCCTCAGACTGCTGAGGTGAACAGAAAACCAGACTGCATGTTCCTCTCTGTCTAGCCCCTGGTACCCTCCTATATGCACCATAGTGTCTTGCTACCCATATCTTGTTCATATGGAGAGCTGGTCAAAAATGGAAGCTGAGAAGTGGGCTTGACAAATATTTGTGACATTTTCCTTTTCTAGAGAAATAAGACAAACTCTGAAATCTGTCCTGGTTTTTGAAAAAGGAAACTGAGGTTTTCTTTTTGAGATTTTTTTCCCCCATCTCATTTTCCCTTTTTCCCTATCTTTTTAATGAATAAGGGGAGGGGGGAAAGAAAAACAGGGGAGAGAAAATGGGAGAAAAAACATCTTTAAAAGTTTTTCAAATTTCATTTTTCATCCCAAAAATAAAAAATCACTATGAATGTACATCTCTTGGGGAAGGAGGGGAGGGAGACTGTCAGTAAAAAGATTTGGAATGAAAAATGCTGCCCAGCTCTGTCAAAACATCACCACAAGCTCTGATCGAGGGAGGTCAAGAAGCTGGAGATTGGTGGGATGGGCAGTCCCTCTCACTCGGGCTGAGACCTCAGGGGTTGAGTGCTGTAGGGACTCTCACCTGACACAGAACTATAGAGCAATACCTTGCCCAGCATGGCTTGGCATGTTTTTGAGCTTGAGGGAGTGACTCTGGCCTGAGGGACATCACTCCAGGGCATGGTGGATCTCTGCTGCCATGCTCACCTGCCAAGAATCTCTGCAGAGGCTTTGTAGTGCTGCAGATCCCTTCTGCAGTCTTCTAGGGCTCCTGTCAGCTCCTCCTGCTCCTGCCTCTTCTCCTTCAGTCGTTGCTCTGCCACCTGTGCCTCTTGTTGGCAGTCGAACAGCTGCTTCCTGCCAGCCCCTAGCATGTCCCGGGCAGACTCCAGCTGTAAACGCAGCTCCTGGCCAGACAGAGAGAAATAAATGTGGTACAAAATGCAAGTGCATGTCATACCCTGCTAACCTGCCACAGAGGGCCAGAGCTGCTGAGGGGGAAGAGGGATGCAGTGACTTTGCATGCCCATGGGTGCTAGGTAGGACCACGTCCAAAAGAGACCTATGGATCATAATTGACCATAAAAGGAATATGAGCCACCAGTGTGATGCTACAGTCAGCAGAACAAACAATATGCTGGTATGCATCAACCAATGCATCTCAAACTAAACTAAGGAAGTTATTCTCCTGCTCTACTTGGCATTGGTGAGGCTGCAGCTGGAGTACTGAGTCCAGTTCTGGGCACCACACTTCAAGAAGGATGTGAAGAAGCTTGAGAGAGTCCAAAGAAGAGCCACTCATATGATTAGAAGCCTGAAGAGCAATCCATATGAGGAAAGGCTTACAGATATGGGACTGTTCAGCCTAAAAAAGAGAAAACTTTGGGGGGATTTGGTGGCAACTTATAAATATATCAGGGGAGAGCATCAGGGGATAGGCAAACAACTATTCACCAAAGCACCCCAGGGGAAAACCAGTAGCAACAGTCATACACTCCTAGAAGAAGTTTTCAGACTGGATATAAGGAAAAAATTCTTTATGGTTTGTGTGACCAGACTCTGGAATAGACTCCCAGTGGGGGTGGTACAGGCACCTACCCTGGAGATCTTTAAAAGGAGACTGGATGTATACCTTGATGGAGTTATTTGACCCCAACAGTCTTTCCTACCCAGAGCAGGGGGACTGGACCCAATGATCTCACGAGGTCCCTTCCAGTCCTAAACTTCTGTGAATCTGCTGCCTGTGGCTCTGCCCCCAGACTGAGCTAATAGCTGGGGCTCTTCCCCTCTGAGGGATGTCTAGAAGCCTACTGCAAACCTGGGACACTATTGATGCCCAAACAATGAGCTGCATTGAAGGTCTTCTCGTTAGGGCATTCTGAGAGTTGCTCTCAGCATTACTGAGTTCCCACAGATCCCTGCCAATTCCAACTCCTGCCCTACCAGGCCCAGCACTCAGACCACTGTCCTTCTGTCTTAGGAAGCTGAAACACTGGCTGAGTGCTTCCCAGCCACCAAGGGATGGGGGCTGAGCTTCTGACTCATGCCCTCCATGTAGTAACACTGAGCACTTGCACTGGGGTAGACAGCCCTGCTGGGAGTTTTCAGAACAGGCTCCAAAACAACAGGCCTGGGCGTGCACATCAGAGGCTTATGCAGTTTGCTGGTCTCCCACCACCTCCGCTGGTGACAGGACCCTCATGTTGGGTAGCTGTAAGTATGGCGTCTGGTCTACTTCAGCTGAAACCTCCTTGCCCCTCTCCCCAGAGCTGCAATGTCCTGGGTCTGGCCTTTCCTTCCCCTTCTTTGTTTCATGCTCTCTCCTTTGGACTGTTCCTTGTCTTCTCTCTCAGTTCACCCTGTTAGCCTGTCAGGTCTGTTTTATACAGCCTCAGAGGAGGACAACCCCATGCTCTCCATTTCCTGGGAGGGGAACTAGGGTACAGGGAAGGGAAACAATATATCCCATGTCACCTAGCAGGCAAGTGGCAGAGCCAGCAATGGAAGCCAGGTCTCCTGGGTCTCCACCTCACCCTACTCAGCTACAGCTGAGCAATTCATGTAGTGCAGTATGTGCGTGTGTGGCTTGCTTTTCTTCTGACGGTAGATCCTGCTCCCCACCCCCATGGCTGGCATAGTACCAAACAGGCTGGCTGCGCCTGTGCTCTGCAGACCCTGTGACATGCAATGCTCAGCTGGAGGAGGGGCCATCACTTTGCTTCCCAGGGAAATCTGCCCCTTGGAGGTCAGCCCTGCTCCGAACCAGGGGGAGCACCAGGGGCTTCAGGCCCTTACCTGCTCGCGCTGCTGCCGCTTCTGAAGGGCACCCTGCACGGCCTGCAGGACTGTGTCCTGGCGCAATGGGGAGGACACATGGGATGGCGATACCCGCCGGCGCTGTGGGGAGCTGGAGTGCAAAGGGGAGCGTGGTCTGCCAAGGTCTTCTTCGACCATTACCCTTAAGCTGCCCGGTGAGAGGGGTCCTGCACTCTCTGCATCAGCCAGAGCCAGCTAGGGAGAGAATCCAGTGAGCAAAGGCAGTGCTTCCCAAATATGGCAACCACCAGCAGCCTCCTCTGCTCCTCTGACGCTATAGGCACTAACATGACTGCCTCAGGCCTTGTCTGCATGGTGAATTTACCCTGATCCAGCACTGTGCCCTCAGCTCCACTGTCTTGATTCATATGCTCTTCCCCCTAAACAGCCCCACTGCTATCTCAGGGTCTGATGCACAGATCTGCCAAGCACCTCCATGTCTGCTTGCCTGCCTTGGGCAGGGGAGAGGTCTAGCAGTGATCAGTGAGGTGCACCACTTGACATGCACAAGGTCACTGCATATATTATCATACCAGCCCTGCGCTCTAACTTTTGGGTCCCCCTGCCCACCTGCCAGGTTTCTACAGATTGCTCTTTCAGCTGAGACTGCCCCCCATGCAGGGGTTTCAGTCCAATGAACCCAATCCAGTTAAGTATTCTAGCCCTACTGCAATCAGTGGGAGTTCCACACATGCTCAGAGATGTCCTTTATTGAATCAGGGCCTCTGCTGACAAAAACAAATGACCCCAATAGGAAGGCAACTGACAACAATAAAAGTGAGAAGAGCAGTGGCAGGGCTGCATGCCTACATTTGTTTTATAGCAGCACCAGTTGAGTACCAACTGGCACATGCTGATTAACTTCTCATTGACACAAGCCTTATGAGAACATGTCCCATAAAAGCAACGTAGACTTTCTCAGCCCTGCCCCACTCCCTTCTGTGACACACTCGCTCTTAACTCTCACACAGGAAAATATCTTCTACGACTAACATTCTTGTTTGCTTTCTGTATAGTTAGTTGTCAAGTTCCCACTATCAAGCTGTATGGCATAAATTACCACATTAAAGCTATTACCAAGTGAGAGGCATCTTCCTAAGAGCCTCTGACTGGATTCTGTTGTGTGTCTGATTTATATAGCCCTCATTACCATGGTGCCTCACAATTTAAATGTGTTTATCTTTATGATGCCCCTGGAAGTTAGGAAGGGCTATAATTCTCAGTTTACAGCTTGAGATGTGAGACACTGGGTGCATCTACATGTGTGCCCAACTGCACAGTTGTTACTGCACAGTTATTTTGTATTTACTTTAGCAAGTACTAAATGACTGCTCAATAACTGACATTACTGCACAGTCCTGGCAGCGCAAGGGTTGTTTCTGACCCTACTATGCAGTAGCAACAAGCTCATAGCTCATTGCTACTACACAGTAATGTTGGCATCATGGTTAGTGCCCACTGATGCTACATTGCCAAAGTGATGAGCTACATCGCCACAGCTTGTTCATATAGCGACATAGCATCTTGTGTAGATGCACCCACAGAGCAGCTAAGTGACTAGGCCAAGGTCACACGGGCAGTCTGAGTCACAGATCCATGCCCTAGTTCTCTAACCACAAACTTATTCCTCCTCTCTACTAGGGAGCACACCTGAGTGATGCTGTTCAAGATTCGTTGAAGCGATTCACTTTCGCCTTTCAGGTCCTTCACCTCCAGCAGGTCTCCAGTTTTAGCAGCTTCCTACATTCAAAGATAAGTGCTTTCTTAGTGATGAACATGAGGAAAGATCAGAGAAAGTGTGTGTGTGTGTGTGTGTGTGTGTGTTTTTCAGTGGGTGACTGAGGGACTGACTGAGAGAGAGGAGTTTCTGGATTCGTGTACCAGTTTCTGAATATCCAGTTTTAGGGCAGAGATGGTCTTCTCTTTCTTTGCATTCTTGTCTTTAAGTTCCTCTGCCAAAACACTCAGCTCTGTTATCCTGAAAGACACAAGCCAGGCACAGACAGCAGGTTCATCAGGAGGAAGACAGGACCAGGGATTAGTGGATGAGGAAACATTTCCTGAACACCCTTCAGGACCTTTGGGGAAAGTACAAAGGAAGAACAAGTCTTGATAGTACCAGGGGAGCGCTATACGCACACTCTGGCTGTGAGGAGCCAGATGACACAGACACCTGACACACTGCATTTCAAAGGTGCTAACCCTATAGAAACGGGGCCCAAAGCCAGGAGGGGGAGAGGGTGGGACAAGGAGCCTGACAGTAGGGAAATGAGTCACGGACTTGCAGCTCTTGTAAACAGCAGTCTTCTGGGCCTTGGCTTGCTATTTGCAGGGTAATGCTTTCATCATTCCCAGAAATAACGTGCAATGATGTGATAAATCCTTTGTGGGGTTCCCAGACTTATTTTTCTAGCCAGTTCTTCAGACTCAGAGCAGCCACAGATGAGGAATGGGCTGCTACTATCACCCTCCCTGCTCTTTCTCTGTGCAAGGGAACCTGGGGCTGCCTGGATGAGGGCAGGAGGGGAATTTGGATGCCAAGAGCCCAAATCTGCACTTTGTTGGAGGTGGGTCCCACCCAGGCAGGGGGGTTGACTGCAGGAGTCTCCAGTCTGGGCCATGGGTCTCCAGTGGCCTATGGGTCTCCAATCTGAGTCCTTCCCACTTAGATCTGTCCAAGTTCCCAGTCTTGACCCATCTACTGCTCACTTCTCTGGCTCCCCAGTCAGAAGAGGTCTCTGCCTCCGGGTCACTTGTGGCTTTTGGTTCTGTTCTATGGATTTGGCGTGTTTGGGGCCTCTCAGAAAATACTTTCAGGGGTTTCATCTTTTTGCGGCTGTCTCCTTCTGAGCTGGAATTGATAGCTTTATTCATCCACAACAAGCTGGGCAAGACAGTGGAGCCCAAAGTCCATCTCAGAGCCCCAGAACTTCCCAACCCAGGAGGTGATGAGACAACAGCTTTTCATTAATCCCCCACAATGGATCTTAAGGCTTACATGATGGATACAGTGAAGGGCACATCTGAGCAGCCACAGACTGGCCAACAATATCACCACACCATCCAGAATGTGGCCTGTGCCACTCCTGGCACCCTTGCTCCACCTGACCAGGACACCATCCACAGCACAGAGAGCTGCATTCCCCCATTTTCTGTTTTAAGCAGTGTGTCTTCTCCAAAACAATAAGATTGATGGAGGTTTCTTGCTTAATTTTGGTTTAAATTGAAAGTACAGCTCACTATATACGTTCAGTTGTGGACTGACCCACAGTGCACCAGTTTGGACCCACAATGCTCCTTCAGTTTTACTGTTTTCATGAAGTAGGAGGAGTTTTGCTTTTTATGCTCAGACTCTCAGGTGGTATAAATCAGTATAATCCACTTAGTATCTCTGGCTTCACACTAGCTGAGCCTTTGGTTTTACAGGAATTATGCCAATTTACCTCAGTTGACAAGAAAGCTCTTCATGTCCTTTGACCCCAAAGGCAAAGTCAGGGACATGGTGCCTGGCCCCTGTTGGAGGCATCAGGCTACCAGCTTTGGTGACCTTTCCACAGATCATCCTGTTGCCTCACTAGGGTTGCTGTCATTTTCACCTGGAGTTCAGCTCTACTTTTTCTCCATCCCAGCGGCTCTGGAGCTGGATCATCTCCCGGACCTTCTCCCGGAGCTGCTGCTCCAGCCGTGCCCCCTGCAATGCCTGTTTCTCCAGTGAGCAGGCAGCACTGTTCTCAGATAGGCGCAGATTTGAGTCCAGGTTCAGGCAGGCAGTCTGGAGGCGGCGTGCAGTCCTTGCCATGTCCATCTTGGCCTCAGTCAGGCCTCTGGCAATGAGAAATTCCCTTGCGTGAAAAGCCACGCTGAAATCCCTGCAGTTTTACCCAGCAACATTTCAAAGCCCTCCTGGTGCTCCCAGCCCCCGGCTGCCTTAGTTTCCTCCCCACAAAGCCTGCTGTGCCACCAGGACACTAGCTATGGCAGCCTCCTCCAAGCTGCCATCATCAGCCCCATACCACAGAATAATTTATTCTCCTTTATAAATCCATGCCTTCTTTGGGGATCCTGATCCTCCCTGTGGTGGAGGGTGTAGTTACTGCAGAGACCTGTCCAAGTGAGCACATGCCCCTTCTGACTCCTCCAGCAGAAACCAGAAGATCAAGGAGCCCTCTACCTGCATGGAACTAATGCTGCTGTGATTAGCCAACACATTTCTAGCCAAAGCCCAGGCCAGATTTGTGTCCCCACTAAAATGGACTCCAAATAGGGCCATGGTACTGGGAGGCTGGGCTCTCTGAGCTCAGTGCATCCAGACCTCTCTGACAAAGGGCCTTCAGAAGGTCTCTCCAAGTAGCCCCTGATGCAGGTAGTACCCACCTCTCTGCCGTCGCCTGCAGCTCTGCAAAATTGCTGCGCAATGTGGCTGCCTGGCGCCAGAGTAGGAGGATTCCACTGTGCTCATGGCTCAGGTATGTGCCGTAGCTCTGAGAAAGCAAGAGCAGGATGTGACCAGTGGATGGAGGCCAGCAGGAAGCCCAAGGGGAATGCAAAAATAAAAGTCCCTGTGAAATGGTCTGTAGAGATACCCAGCCTCCTTTCCTGAGGTGAAACAGCTAATTCAGACCCTGGCTAAGTGTGGGAGTAGATTAAATTTTTCCCACCTCCCACAGCAATACTCTTCAACTGACACATCACTGCCCATTCTCCCAGCAACCCCCAGTCTTTCTGCCATTCCTTACCATCCTTTTTGGTTCTGACTGAGCTAAGTAACACTGTGTCATCTACAGATACCATGTGCCCCATCCAAGTCATTCTTAAAGACGTTTAGATGGAACCCTGAGGCCTCAGCTGCTGACCCCCTAACAGGTGCTGTTTTGGCCCTCCCAGCTGTTGCTTAAAATCTCAGGACACTAGGAGGGAACATGACAATAAAGGGTCAGCTGCCCAACTGGTGCAAATCAGTGTAAATGCCTTGGTGTCAATGGGCAAGGCTACCAGTCAGTGCCAACTGGCGTAACCCCATTGGTGTCAGTGGGCCAGCGTCCCCACTGGTGTGAATCCACCTGGCTCCATTGCAGCCAACAATAAAACAGGCTATGAAGGGGAGGGATTTACCTCTCTACTGTGGCACCACTGGGACTCCTTCCGCTCCAGCTCGCCTTTCAGCCAGTGCACATCTGCCATCGCCCTCTCCAGCTCTCCTGCCAGCCGCTGGTTGGAGGATTTCATCTGGTCCAGCTGTTCCCGCAGCAAGGTGTTCAGCTGGGAGAGGCTGGTGCTCCTAGGAGGCAAATGATCCAGACACTAGTATTCCCATCTGTCCCAGTCCCTGTGCTAGGCAGTAGCCAGCCTTGGGCTCCTCACACTGCTCCAGCAAGGCCCTTGGAACCCCTCTCTGCCTTGGCTCTCCTTGGGACACCCCAAGATTGGCTCTCAGTCTCCAAGCTTCCCTCCTCTTGAATTTACCCTACCCCTGACAATCAAGTTTACCCCAGGCTTGTGAGGAGCTTTCTATTTTGGGAAAGAGAGAATCTGGTCTCCTGGTTTGGATTCTGGGAAATCCACTCACCAGAGTGGAGATTGCTGTGGTCTGGGGCACAGCTGTGAAGTCCTCCAACCCCTGCACTAAATATGGTGCTTGTGGTACTTCCTGTGAATTCAGCCTGACAGCCAGCAAGGCCAGTGGACACCAGGCACCAAGAACACTGAGCAATATTATAGAGTGCTGCAATGTTCAAAGCACTGTCTGAACATCAACACCCAGTGCTTGAGGTAGGAAATGAGCAGCCCCATTTATTTACACTTATTAACTCTTTTGGGCTACATCCAAACCACATGCACATGGTCCAGGCACATATGCAAAAAAATTACACCACCAAGATAATGAAAAGGAGAGTCCACAGCTCAAATAATAACCTGCCATTAGGGCCCCCGGCTTACATCAGGAAGCTGCATCCCAACTGTCTGCATCTGTAGATGTGATGGCCAGAGTAGACTGTTGTGATTGTCTGTTCTGACCTCCCGCAGACCCAGGCTATGGGATTTCACCCAGGGATTCCTGTCCCAAGCCCACTCCTGTCTCTTTGATGAGCTACAACCTGTTGTTGGAAAGAGACAGCCTCTTCCCCCAGGACCTGGGAAAGGATGCCAGCCTTGCTGCAGGCCTGAGAGGCTCACAACCCCAGAGGACCATGGAGAAAGCACATTCCAGAAGTGAGGGCTAGATTCTTAGCTAGCAGCTCCCCACCAGGTAAGCTCCACCGGGAGCAATCCTGCACATCCCAAGTGTGGCAGTACAGTGTGAGAAGCTGCAAACCAATGCCCTGGAGTCCTGCCAGATACCTGTAGGCAGCCAGTGCAGGGCACAGGGCACATACCTGCTCCCATTCTGTATCCACAAGGCCTAGAAGTGGTGAGGATGCTCAGGGAGGTGTCCCAGCAGGCCAGCACCCATGCTCCAAACCTGGGTTTCTGGTGTGCGCAAGAGGGATCATGGGCTTGTGGGGGACAGATATGTGGTGAGTGGGAGTGGGTAGGCAGGGCCTATCTCTTCAGCAGCACAACTGAGGCCCCACTTTGTGGACATGGGGTATGTACAGCCTGGATGGGTCACACAAAATGGCCATCATTTCATTTGCCCTTTGGCTCTTTGTAGGGAAGCAGAAGGGTGAAAGCAGGCAAAAGCACCTATTGGCCATGTGCAGCACCTTGGTGAAAGGCTGAGAACCAAGGGTTAAGGTGCCTGGGATCTGGAACTGGAAACAGGCTGTACACCTGGTTACCAAAGCTGGGCTTATGGCTGTGAAGTTTTGAAGGCTGCTAATAGGATACAGAGCCTGTTGCCTTTGGGTGACTGGTTCAAAACTGGCTCAGGCTTGAATCAACTGCACGTTGTTACCATCTGATGGCAAGTTACATCCAATTATGGGCATTGTTCCAGTGTTGTGTCACCTCCTTCCCCTCCTAGTGAGAGGGATGACAAAAGCCAGCCTGTGGTGCCCTGGGGACCGCAGACTCACCTCTGCTGCTCTTCCTCCAGGCGGGTCAGGGTGCTCTCCAAGTCGGTACCATAGTCATGCTCTGAGTGGCACAGGAGGGATGTTGTAGACTCCAGCCGTGTCTGCAAATGGGAGAAAAGAGAGGAACAGCTAGGTAAGTTGAGCATATTTCCGAAGAGGCAGGACAGCCCCAAGGAGACAGGAAACTTCACACAGGATGGGCAGAACAATTGACTAATGGGCATTAACTGACAGATACATGGAAAATAACTGGCATTTTTGACCACCAAAGACCACTCCATGGAGCACAGAAATGGGCCAGGTCTGGTCCTTATATAGCCAAGGGCTTTTCCTAGCAGACTGTGTCTGACATGGGTTGGAGCAGTACTGTACTTGGAAACCTACTGGACCACTGTGGATAGTCTGCTACTAGGGCTTCAGGGAGAAGGCAGAACAACTTACACAGGGTTCTTTTCTCCCTAAAGATGCAAGTAGTCCCAGTTCCAGAGGGCCAGATCCTCAGCACTTCCCTAGACAAATCAGCAAAGCTAAGCCAATTTACATTTGGGGGGAATTTGGCCCAGGACACCCTATGTGGGTAGAGTAGCACCCCAGTTTGCTGTCAAAGCTGTCATTGGGAACTAAAGCTGTCACGTTACCTGGGCACTGGAACTTATTCCTCACTTTCCAACAGGGAGGACAGACCAATTCCAACCCCCAATCTGCCAGGGGCCTGTGTATGCACTGGCCACTACAGATCTTTGCTGCTCTCCCTTTCCTCCCTGCAGAAAAGACCAGATACCAAAACAGAGCTGAGAACAGTCCCATCCCGCAGTGCCCGCTTTGGGGAACAGTGAGCTGAGTTACAGAGTCCAGTGTTCTCACTGCATGCTTTCTTCCATGCATTACCACTCCTTTCTCCTCTGGATCCCAAGTGCTGTATCCCACATGACTTTTAAACTCTGCTGAAGCCCCCTCATCACCTGTTCTGCATGGCTATGAGATGCTGGAGCTGTTTGCTCAGAGCGCTTTGCAAACTGAAGTGACCAGCTGCCTATGAGAGCCATGTGTTATACAACACAACCAGGCTACTTGGAAGGCCAAATAGAACCATTTCAATTATATGCACTTTTATTAACAGAAGAATACACAGGGGTCTATTTGCAACAGTTATTTTACGAGGTTAGGCAGACTGCCAAAGCAATGCTGCAATTAAGCACTCAGGGCATGATGGGATACTAATATGTAAATTGCTCACAAAATCAAGAGTAAAAGCATTGCATGCCTCATTGTATGATGCCTCAGCCTTGCCAGGATAACAAAATCTGTACTGACCAGATGTTTTTGATGCTCGGATTCAGATGTTTTCTCCAGCAGCTGCTGCTGTAGGTCCCCGCATCTTTTCTTGTACTGAAGAACCTAGGCCGAGAAACAAAAAAGGGTGATGGGAAATGGGGGAAGGGGCAAGAAGGGAGTTAGGAAAAGAGAATGAAAAAAGAAGACAAGCAGGAGAAAAGAGAAGGGAGAGAGAAACCCGAATCACTGAAGGCATACATCAGTGGTAAAACTGCCAAAGTCACTCCATAGGGCTTAGGTTCCTAAAGAACATGGAGTTTTGAATGTTTTCCCCCACAGGCTTCCTCTCTATCGGTGCCAGTATAGATGATAAAGTGGCAGATCTGATGCCCACTGAAATCAACAGGACTCTTCCCACTGACTGTCCTTGGCCTTGGATAAGGCCCCTAGTAAAACATGTAGCTGGCCCCCAGCAGATGCAAGCAGCAGCTTGGGATGATCCAGACCCTCTTTATGAGCCTCCAGGTGTGGCATAAGCTGCCATGCCTTTGTATTGGTGGCCTAGCTGTTGTTGCCTTGCAAACACTCTGTTGTGACAGAAATATACATTCTTGTGCTCCTTCATCTTACAGTGCCCACAGGGCTGAGAAGAATCATCCCTCCTGTTGTGCAGGGCTTTGGACAAGGACATCCTCCTCTTTCATTTGCTTGGCCAAACAGGATGCCAGGCAAACTCAGTCTGTCCAACAAGTCAGGAACCATACACAGTCAGGGGGACTCTGTTAGTGTTGCTATCCAGGGACAGCACCCTGCAGGCAGCCTGCCTCCCACTGCTGCAGAGGATCAGATGTCAGCGCTCTGCCTGACATGTGCCAGTGGCTGAGATCAGACTAGGAACAGATCATGCCTTGCGGCACATGGAGGGCCCAAATCCTCAGCAGGACTTAGTTAGTGCAGCCCCACTGTTGTCAGGGCTGTTACCCTGAGCCACACCAGCTTGCTGAGGAAAGGCTGGTGCCTCCCCCTGGCCCCTGCCCTTGGTGAGACTCATATGGGAAGGGCTCCCACCTTGTTTTGCAGCTTCTGGACCAGCTGGGCCTGGCGCTGCTGCCCGTCCTGGTAGGCCTGCAGCTTGCACCTGTAGGCCTTCTCATCATTCTCAAATTTCCGCCTCAGCTCTGCAAGTGCGGGGCTGCCATCCCCCTCACGCTGGGCTGCTTCCACGTGCAGTGCCCTCTCCAGCTGGAAAAACAGAGCCCCCCCAACCCCAATATCTGAGCAGCAGAGCAAGGGGGCACCGAGGAGCTGCTGCAGGATAGAGGGACCTAGGCAGATGCTAAATGAGGGTGGGAGCACACGGGATGACTACAGGCTGCAGCCAAACTGATTTCATCGATTTCATAGACATTAGGGCTGGAAGGGACCTCATGAGATCATTGGGCCCATCCCCCTGCCCCAGGGGCAGGAAGTCAGCTGGGGTCAGATCACCTCAGCAAGTTAAGCATCCAAGCATTTCTTAAAGGTATCCAGAGTAGGTGCTTGCACCACCTCTGGGGGGAGTCTTTTCCAGATTCTGGAGACTTGGACAGTAAAGAAGTTTTTCCTTATGTCTAAAATGGTCTTCCAGCATCTTGTGACCATTAGACCTTGTCTTCCCTTGGAGTGCCCTGGTGAACAGATGTTCTCCCAGTTCTTGATGCACACCCCTTGTATACTTAAAGGCTGCCACCAAGTCACCCCTGAGCCTTCGCTTCTCCAGGCTGAAGAGTCCCATGCCCCACAGCCTCTCCTCATAAGGCCTGTTCTCTTGACCTCTAATGGTGCATGTGGCTCTCCTTTGGACTCTTTCAAGCTGATTTGAGAAGGAGGGGCTGGGAAGCAGCAGCCCTGTGCTCAGCATGGCCAATGGCTCTGACTCCTGGATCTGTCCCCTGCCTTGTACTCAGCCATGACAGTATTTCCTAAACAGGTAATAACAAGTCTGTGTACACAGGATCTCATTTCATAGATTTCATAGATTTCATAGACATTAGGGCTGGAAGGGACCTCGGAAGATCATCGAGTCCAGCCCCCTGCCCAAAGGGCAGGAAGTCAGCTGGGGTCATAGGATCCCAGGAAGATGAGCATCCAGTTTGTTCTTGAAGGTGTTCAATGTAGGCGCTTGAACCACCTCTGGTGGCAGGCTGTTCCAGACCTTGGGGGCTCGGACAGTAAAGAAATTCTTCCTTATGTCCAGCCTGAAACCGTCTTGCAGTAGTTTATGACCATTCAACCTAGTCGTCATCCCTTGGGGCGCTCTGGTGAACAAATGTTCCCCCAGATACTGGTGGTCACCCCTGATAAACTTATAGGTGGCCATCAGATCACCCCTGAGCCTGCGCTTTTCCAGGCTAAAGAGCCCCAGGGCTCTCAGCCTGTCATCGTAGGGTCTGCTTCCCTGACCTCTGATCATGCACGTGGCTCTTCTCTGGACTCTCTCAAGCTTCTCCACATCCTTTTTGAATTGTGGAGCCCAAAACTGGACACAGTACTCCAGCTGCGGCCTCACTAAGGCCAAGTACAGGGGGAGAATGACGTCCCGGGATTTGCTTGAGAAAACTCCACAACTCCAAGGAGTTTCAGTTTGCTACATCGCAAGTCATTTAAGTCACATTAAATCACATCCCAAGGCACATTATGCCACTGAATTTGCTACAGCAGCTGGAATTACTGCGCAATATGCCGTCGCCACATGCAACACCAACACCATTATAGTGGTGCGGAATCATTTAACCTGCTTTAAACGTCTTGCGCACACGCCCCTCATTTCATCTACACACAGGCTTAAACACCTTTTTCTCTGTATAGGTGCTTATGGTGAATTACAGTTGAGCCCTTTGTGAATTCCAAGAGGGAATTCATTATTCCTCTCATCTGTATTTTTGTCTGAATTGCATTACCATTTACTAACTGTATTAGACTGGCCTATTTATCTTAGTCCACAGCTTCCAGACCTTTGATCATGGGATACCAGATCGAAGGCTTTTTTGAAGTCAAGATATATGACATCAATCTCTTCTCCCTTGTCCAGGTGATAGGTCACCTGGTCGTAGAAGGAAATGAGATTGGTCAAGCAAGACCTACCCGCAACAAACCCGTGCTGGCTATCCCTTAAGATGTTGGCATCGGCCAGTCCATTAAGGATGGCCTCTTTAATAAACTTTTCTAAGATCTTCCCTGGGATAGAAGTCAGGCTAATGGGACTATAGTTAGCTGGATCCATTTTCCTCCCTTTCTTGAAGATAGGCACCACATTGGCCTTCTTCCAGTCTTCGGGCACTACACCAGAGCGCCAAGAGTTTTCAAAGATCAGTGCTAGAGGCTGGGATAACTTCATAACTCACCTGAAACCTTGGACGTTTCCCTCCCTACTTTTCAGCCTGATGCTCTGGCCTGGGAGACAGGGCATTAGGGTGAAGGAGCCAAGAAGATGTAGGTCTGTGGAGGAAGGTGTCTGGCTTTCGCTCTTCCCCCAAGCTGTTCTCTTCCAAACTAGCGCTCTTCCTCTCTGCCTCCTCTGTCTCTTGGGCAGTGGTCTGGTAGCACTGCATCTGTGCAGACCCTGTTCAGTGCTCCAGCTGAGTCCCTTGAGGGGAGCCCACATACCTGGGTGACTCTATTCCCTGCCCTCCTGTAGCAGGAGGGAAAACCCCATCTATGCTGGCACTAACTCCTCCTGGAGTCCCCTTTCTGGAGGGAACTGGAGCACAGCTTCATTCCAGCAGGCTTCCATTGAGGGCCAGGGTCTGACTCATGGGGCTACAACCAGATAACCATGCATTCAGCGAGAGGAAGGACGTGCTGTTTTTCAGATGGATGTAGTAGGCACAACCCAGTGCCAGTGACAATAATTCCTACCCTAGTGATAGTGCTTCTCTCCTGGAGAGCCCCAGGGCCCTTCTCCCTGGTTTCTCTGTTTTCTACTAAAAATGAAAAAGTATGGCTATGTCCATACCATGCATGGTAGAGTGTGACGGTAAGAGGCTTGTCTAAGACCAAGCACCAAGTCAGTGACTGAGCTGAGAGGTCTCTAGGAACATGTCTAGTCTGAATGCCACATGCTGTTTAACCACACAGAATCCACGTACCTGCTTGTCCACTTCATAGTTTCATAGTTGGTAGGGTCGGAAGGGACCTGAGCAGATCAACAAGTCCGACCCCCTGCCATGGCAGGAAAGAGTCCTGGGGTTA